TTTGTACTTTAAAAGATACAATTAAGAAAGTGAAAAATAAACCCACAGTACAGGTGAAAATATTTTCAAATTATATAACTGATAAGGAATTTGTATTCATATAAAGTACTCTTATAATTCAACAACAAAAAGACAGTCCAATTGAAAAATGGGCAAAGGAGATCTGGAAACAGCCCAAGTGTCCATGAGTAGACGAATGGATCAAAAAGCTGTGGTACATATACACAATGGAGTACTACGCAGCGGTAAGAAAGAAAGATCTCTTATCCTTTGAGACTACATGGAGGGACCTTGAAAGTATCATCCTAAGTGAAACAAGCCAAACAGAGAAAGACAAGTTTCATATGATTTCACTTATTTGTGGAATATAATGAACATAACAGTTTGAGGAATGGGGTAGTCCCAGAGACGCGGAAGCGGGGTACAGACTGACAATCCCCTAAGGAGTGGAGAGGTGGGGGAGGGATGAACCACAGAATGTATACGCATGTATGCATGAACAGTGGACATGGACAACAATCTGGGGAAGGGGCAGGGAGGGAGGGGGAGGGGGGAATCAGTGGGGGGAAAAGGAGAAACATCTGTAACAAAAATTAATCAATAAAATCTATTTTATGTTTGAAGAAAAAAAAAGAAAAATGGGCAAAGGATCTGAATAGGCATTCCTCCAAAGAATCCATACAAATGGCCAATAAGTACATGAAAAGTTGCTCAGGCCCTGGCCAGTTTGGCTCAGCGGTTAGAGCATCAGCCTATGGTCCACAGAGACCCAGGTTCGGTACCCACTAAGGGCATATACCACGGTTGCAGTTTGTCCCCAGCCCTGGTTGGGTTGTGTGGGTGGCAGCCACTCAATGTGTCCCTTTCACGTCAATGTTTCTCTCTCTTTCTCTTCCTCTCTCTCCCTCCTACTCTATCTGAACAAAAAATGGAAAAATGTCCTCGGGTGAGGATTAAAAAAAAAGAAAAAGTTGCTCAGTATCATTAGTCATTAGAGAGATGCAAATTAAAGTCACTGTGAGATACCCTACTATCTCATATTCACTAGGATGGCTATAATAGAAAAGACAGATAATAACAAGTATTAATGAGAATGCGGAGAAATTAGAACCCTTATATAGTACTTGTACAAATATAAAATGGTGCAGCCAGTTTGGAAAGTAGCATGGCATTTCCTCAGAAGGTTAACCATAGCGTATGACCCAGCAACCCATGCCTAGGTATATACCGAGAGAAATAAAAACATATCCCCACACAAAAACTTATACATGAATATTCATACAGCATTATTCATGCTAGCCCCCAAATAAAAACAACCTGGATATCCAGTAACTGATGAATGAATAAACAAAGTGGGGAATATCCATACAATGAATACTTTTTGGTAATAAAAAGGAATGAACTACTGATACATGCCACAACATGAATGAACCTCGAACATTATGCTAGTAAAAGAGGCCAGACACAAAAGGCCACATATCATAAAACTCCTTTTATATGAAATGTCCAAATAAGCAAACTTATGGACAGGAAGTAGATTAGTGGTTGCCAGGGATTGGGAAGTGAGGGAATGAGGAATGACTGTGTATGGGGTTTCTTTTGGGGGTGGTGAAAACGTTTTGGAATTAGATAGTGTTGAATTAGATAGTCTGAATATACTAAAAAAAAAATAAACCCACTGAATTGTACGTTTTAAAAGAATGAACTTTGTGATATGTGAATTATAGCTTAATAAAGCTGTTATTAAACAAATACATTTATAACAGAGAGAGAGAGGGAGAGGCAGAAGAGTATCTACCATGGAAGGGATTGGAAACTGGGCTAGGGATCCAGAGGATCCCTATGGGCAGCTTTTGGAGAAGCACCCTGACTGACATTCCAGACCCTGCATTGTAATCCAGCCTGTGTTAACTTACTATGAACTCTCTTCAACAAGGCTCTGGGCCTCTGCCTGCCTAACTAAATTGTGTGGTAGCAAAAGACTGGAGACGTTCTGAAAGCCCATCAGTAGGGGATGCATATACATCAATAAAATGCAATAATGTGTAACTTTTTTAAAAAATAAGGTGGATATATAATACTAGTCAATATTTATGTAATGTCAGATGCTATCAAGCACTTTGATGAATACTTCATTTAATCATAACAACTCGGTGAAAATAATTATCATTAGTAGCCCATTTCAGAAGACAACACTAAGGCACAGAGGTTAATTACACAGTAAGGTCAGATCCCAGCCAAGGCATTTTGATTCCAGAGTTCATGCTCTAGTCCAGCAGTTCTCAAAGTGTGGTTTGGAAATTCCAAGACCCTTTGGGGGGGGGTGCACATTTAAAACTATTTTTATAGCCCTGGCTGGTTTGGCTCAGCGGTTAGAGCCTCGGCCTGCGGTCCAGAGAGACCCGGGTTCGGTTCCTGCTAAGCGCGCGTACCTCAGTTGCAGTTTGTCCCCGGCCCTGGTTGGTCATGTGGGTGGCAGCCACTCGATGTGTCCCTTTCGCGTCAATGTGTGTGTGTGTCTCTCTCTCTTTTCCTCTCTCTCCCTCCCACTCTGTCTGAACAAGAAATGGAAAAATGTCCTCGGATGAGGATAAAAAAAAAACTATTTTTATAATAATACAAACATTATTTGCCTTTTTCATTCTTCTCTCAGTATTGTACAGTGGAGTTTTTGAGAGGCTACCTGGATATGTAATTATATCATCACTCTGTTTTAAAATTTTTTGTTTTCATTTCTAGTGTGGTAAATATAGATATAATTCACAAACAAAAGCTCTTTGGGGGGTCTTCAGTAATTTTTAAGAGTGTAAAAAATTTCTGAGATCAGAAAGTTCAGCCCTGGCCAGTTTGGCTCAGCAGTTAGAGCATCGGCCCACGGACCAAAGAGTTGTGGGTTCGATTTCAGTCAAGGCCATGTATCTCAGTTGCAGTTCGATCCCCAACCCTGGTTGGGGTCGTGTGGAAGGCAGCCAGTTGATGTGTTCCTCTCATGTGGATGTTTCTCTTTCTCTCCCTCCCTCTCACTCTATCTGAAGATAAGTAGGGGGGAAAAAAGTATCCTTGAGTGAGGATTAAAAATAAACAAAAAAGCCTGGCCGGTGTGGTTCAGTGGTTGAGCGTCGATCCATGCACCATGCCAGTTGGATTCCCAGTCAAGAAACAGGCCCAGCCCTGGCCGGTTTGGCTCAGCGGTTGGAGCGTCAGCCTGCGGTCCACAGAGACCCGGGTTCGGTTCCCGCTAAGGGCACGTACCTTGGCTGCAGTTTGTCCCCGGCCCTGGTTGGGTCGTGTGGGTGGCGGCCACTCGATGTGTCCCTTTCACATCGATGTTTCTCTCTCTTCCTCTCTCTCCTTACCGCTCTATCTGAGTGAAAAATGGAAAAATGTCCTCGGGTGAGGATTAAAAAAAAAAAAAAAAAGAAACAGGCCCAGGTTGTGGGCCCGATCCCCGGTGGGGGGGCATGCAGGAGGCAGTCAGTCGATATTCTCTCTCATCAATGTTTCTATCTCTCTCTCTTTCTCTAAAATCAATAAAGAAAAAAAGAAAGAAAAGAAACTGCCCTGGCCAGTTTGGCTCAGCAGTTAAAGCGTCAGCCTGCGGTCCAGAGAGGCCTGGGTTTGGTTCCTGCTAAGGGTACATTCCTCTGTTGCAGTTTGTCCTCAGCCCTGGTTGAGTTGTGCAGCCATTCAATGTGTCCCTTTCGCGTCGATGTTTCTCTCTCTCTCTCTTCCTCTCTCTCCCTCCCACTCTGTCTGAACAAAAAATGGAAAAATGTCCTCGGGTGAGGATAAAAAAAAAGAAGAAGAAACTGCCATACTAGTCTAAACTATTATCTTATACTTTTCATTTTTATTTGTTATGGATCAATTGATAAGATAAATTGTTGGTTAAAAAAAAAGCAAGATATAGCCCTGCCCAGTTTGGCTCAGCTGTTAGAGTGTCAGTCCTTGGGCCTCTGGCCAAAGAGTCTCAGATTTGATCCCCAGCCCCAGTCTGGGTCATGAAGAAGACAACCAATTGTTGTGTCTCTCTCACGATGATGTTCCTCTCTCTCCCTCCCTCTCTTCCACTCTATCTGAGAAAATCAATGGACAAATATCCTCAGGTGAGGATTAAAAAAGACAACAGGATATAGAAAGGAAATTATAATTACCTAAAAGCTGATATTTAGGCAAGAATAAAAAGAGAGCTCTCTATACATATACTTACTCTGTACATAGGATTCAAAGAAAACGTCTAACAGTGGTTGTCCCTGGGGTACAGGGAATGGGGACGCAGGAAATTTTTTCATTGTGTATAGTTTAGTACCGTTAGATATTTTTCTCCTACCATGTATATATATTAACATTTAAAAACAAAGTTTAGCCTTGGCCAATTGCTCAATGCTTAGAGCGTCGGCCCACGGACCAATGAGTCGCGGGTTTGATACCTCAGTTGCGGTTTGTCCCCAGCTTTGGTCTGGTCATGCGGGAGGCAACCAGTCGATGTGGCTCTATCACATCGATGTTTCTCTCTGTCTCTCTCACCCTCCCTCCCTCTCACTCTATCTGATAATAGGTGGAAAAATATCCTTGGGTGAGGAATAAAAAAAAACAACAAAGTTTAAAAAGATAGCCATAAGAGAAAAAGAGAAAGAGAGGTGGAGAGAGAAAATATAAACAAATAGGGTGGTTAGGTGTTTCTTCTAGCTTTGCTGTCCTGTGGTTCAACTCTCAGAACCTTAGCCTGCACCTTGATAGTAAGGATTAGCAGATTTGTTCTACTCACTTGCAGGAATATAGAAAGAGTAAAATATTAGATGTAAAAATACTTTGAAAGGCACTGAGTTCTCAGTGGGAGGACATTGTTAATGACTGAATGTTTCATTAATGTGTTCAACAATTTTCTTGTAAGTTTGTTTTGGGGCTCACAGATCGGAGGGAGGATCAATGTACTATTTTGCAGTTATTGTAAAAAAGGAGCCTTTGTAGACATATATGTTTCTGATGTGTGTTTTTAGGATCAAGAAATGCAGAAATTACTATGAAATTCTGGGAGTTTCTCGAGATGCCAGTGATGAAGAGCTTAAGAAAGCTTACCGAAAACTCGCCCTGAAATTTCACCCTGACAAGAACTGTGCTCCTGGAGCAACAGATGCTTTTAAAGGTGTGATCCTGAACTAATGCTTAATTCTGCCCACCCTGTGATGTTTAGTCATTAGAAGTTGCTTTCAGCCTCCCCTGTAATTGTTTTATAAAGCCACAAGCATAGGTGTTGTTGTAGACCAACGAGACAGACCAGACTCAGACTCTGAACTGGGTTCAAATGAAGAGAGCTTTGTTTACCGCACAGCGACTGTCCCATCCTACGCAGAGGAGAGAGCAGCCCCGAGCTCATGGGGAGGGCTGCTTATATAGTTGTCTTAGCCCCTGTTAAGGAATTTGCGCTAAGGGTTTGCTAGCAGCAAGCACGTACAGAAGCAGATATTTGCGGTTAGCTGTTATGCTTGAGAGAGCAAGCAGTTTCAGTTTGCACAATGCAGTGGTTATCTGTACAATGCAGTGGTTATCTATTAACTCTAGCAGCTAGTTCTTGCCATTTTCTTAAAATCCAGGGGGTAAGGTCTGCCTATTTCACATACCATGTGTTTGTCCTTTACAGTGTTTTCCCTGCCACACCTCTTACATAGTGATTATCAACATAGCTTCCTCCTGTCTTCATTCACTTCACCATAATTTCTTTTGGAAAAAATATTTGGTTTCTCTGTAATACCTTTTGGGACCATTTATTCATTGATTCAGCAAATATTTATTGAATATCTATGTGCCAGGTACCTTGGTGAATAAAACAGATATGATTCCTCTTGTGGAACTTATAGGCCGTGGCCACTCACCAGTAGGGACTAGACAGCATTCCTAAATTTCTCTGACCATGGAACTCTTTGTTCATCAAACCTCTGTTATTAATATGTTCATGTGAAAAATACGGGTAAATTTTTTTTCCATTGATTTCAGTGATACTTTCAGAAACATATTGGCTCAGTGGTTGGAGCATCGGCCCGAGGACTGAAGCGTCACGGGTTCGATTCCAGTCAAGGGCACGTATTTCGGTTGCAGTTTCTCTTGGCCCTGGTCGGGGTTGTGTGGGAGGCAACTGATCGATGTGTCTATCTCGCATTGGTGTTTCTCTCTCTGTCTCTCTCTTTCTCTCTCCCTCCCACTCTGTCTGAAGATAAATGGAAAAATATCCTTGGGTGAGGATTTAAATAAATAAATAAATAAAATTCAATATAATGAAAAGCATTAAAGTTGGAGAGACTGTCCTGGATTAAAATAAACTAAAGAGATATAAAACCAAATGCTGTACATAAAAACTGCATGGCTTTACTGGATGATAATTAATGTTAATTTTCTTAGCTGTGATAATAATATTGTGATCATGTAGGAGAATATCTTTATTTTTAGGAGACATGTTGAAATATTTAGGGGTGAAGTGCTATCATATCTGCGGCCTACTTTTACATGGCTCAGCAAAAGAAATGTATTCATATGGCTCGGCCAGTGTGGCTCAGTGGTTGAGTGTCCACGCATGCACCAAGAGGTTGTCTGTTTGATTCCTGGTCAGGGCGCATGCCCAGGTTGTGGGTCCGATCCCCAGTGAGGGGCATGCAGGAGGCAGCCAATTGATGTTTCTATCTCTCTCTCCCTCTCTAAAAATCAATAAAGAAAAAAATAAAAATATAAAAGAAATGTATACCTATGTATGTGTATAGGTAGGTAGGTAGGTATAGAGAGTTGAGGAAAGCAATATGGCAAAATGCTAACAATTGATGAATCAAGGTAAAGGGTTTATTGTAATTTTTTTTTCAACTTGTCAATAGATTTAAAATTTTTCAAAAGCAAAAATGATAGCTCTGATAAATTTTTAAAAGTCACCATTTATCTCAGATGATGTGCCATTGTGAATCTAGTTCTCCCCACAGTTTCTATAAGCAGACAATTAGGTAACCCACATTCTCTTTATACCTGCATGTAAGGTATCTCACAGACTAATTCCATTTCTTTGATAAATCTGCCAGATTTCAAGGGATGTGAATGTTTAAACAACTCTATTTAGATTTTTTTGTTTGTTTTTTCTGCTTAGCTGATTTATTGCTATAAACATTTAACAATTTCATAGGTAGAAGAATCATAAAGAAATGCTATTTCTGACTGTTTTGATACAGTTGACTGACTCAGAGGTAGGGGGTGGGGATGTCTTAAAATATTTTTGGGGGCATTTTTTTAATTGGAGGTATGCATTATATGTTTAAATGAAATTGGATAAATAGGAAGGAGAGGAAGAGAGGTGTTGATAAGCATATGTAATCTATTCAGTCTTTGATCTCTCATTGAGACATTAGAGATACATTTCCCTTTTTTTTTTTTTTTAATCCTCACTGGAGGATATGTTTCTATTTATCTTCAGATAGAGTGGGAGGGAGGGAGAGAGAGGAAGAAAGGGAGAGAGAGAAACATCAGTGTGAGAGAGACACATCTACTGGTTGCCTCCCGCACAACCCCGACCAGGGCCAGGGACAAACCGAAACCGAGGTATGTGCCCTTGACCAGAACCGAACCTGTGACTCATTGGTCCGAGACCTACATTCTAACTGCTGAGCCAAACCAGCCAGAGCAAGATACATTTCTTAATTACTAAAGACTCTTTTCTAAAGGAAGCTGAATAAGATTGTGACCAGTAAGAACTTTGCTTTTAGCCAAGCATTAATTTTACTGATTATTTTATTCAGGAGATTGTTTCTAGACTTCAAGTTAGAACACCACTACATATCTGTGAACTATTCTCAACCATAAACTGTTGCTGTCAAGTGGAATATGAACACATGAATGATGAATGAGAGCAATAAATAGTTCTTAGTTCATCTTGAGTCTAGTGTTGTTTCTGGCTTTTCAAACTAGATCATGGAAAATTTCAAGGGAAAGCACTTTGGTGAACTTTCCAGGCCCAAGCACCTCCGTTAGGCCCCTGTGAAGCTATCCAACACCATTCAGCTCTGAGCTCTTCATGGCTGCAACTGTGATCACCCTCAGCTACAGCAAAGATTGTATACTCAGGTGCTTTTTTGTTTTGGTTGCAGCAATAGGAAATGCCTTCGCAGTCCTTAGCAATCCTGACAAGAGACTCCGCTACGATGAATATGGAGATGAACAGGTGACTTTCACTGCCCCTCGAGCCAGACCTTATAATTATTACAGGGACTTTGAAGCTGACATCACTCCAGAAGAGCTATTCAATGTCTTCTTTGGAGGACAATTTCCTACAGGTTAGTATCCCAAAATTATCATGAAAAAATTTATATATCAGCAAGCTCCTGTTTGAGAATATGAACAGAGGGACATGGTATGGTGAAAACAGCAAAAATTCGGAATCAGGTGAACTGGGATTTGAGGCAAATCTCCAGCCTCCAACTGTGCATGATTTTGACTAAATCACTTAGTTTCTCTTATCCTGTTTACTCACCTGAAAAATGGGGCTAATAATACCTATCTCACAGGGTGGCTGTGAGGATTAGATTTATATATATATATTTTATATATATGTAAGTATATATATAATATATATAAAACATATATATGTGTGTGTGTGTATATATATATATGTTTTTATTGATTATTTTAAAGAGTGAGGAAGGAAGAGAAAGATAGAAACATTGATGGGAGAAACATCAATCAGCTGCCTCCTGCACGCCCCCTACTGGGATCAAGCCTGAAACCTGGGCATGTGCCCTGACTGGGAATCAAACTGGGACCTCTCAGTCCATGGCAGGAAGCTCAATCCACTGAGCCACACCAGCCAGGCAGGATTAGAAGTTTTAAGTGCTATATAAATAAGTAACAAAATGCTATTATTATTATTGTTGTTGTTGTTGTTGTTGTAAAAAAAAAAAGTGGCTATATAAAGAGAAAAGTTAGAAAAGCACCCCCAGAGAGTTGGAAATTGGGATAATTAAATGCCAAGGAAGTAAATTAAATTTTATGAGTTGCTATTGAAGATTCTGATATTGGGAAGGAAACAAACAAACATGTCAGACAAGTCTCAAGGCCCAGATGCTCTTTCTTTACTGGTCTTTTGGGGTTCTCTCACTCACTGATTACAAAGGACTATTTAAATAAAGGCAGGAGAGCTAAGCACATTCCATCTCCAGCTCGTTCATTTGACTTACCTACTGTCTTATTTTTCTACTGGGTAAAATGGGACAATACTCTGCCCTCAGAGAACCTAACTGGGAGGAAGGATCTTGCAAAAGGCAAGGAAGGAGCGTTTGCCATATTCCTACTAAGGATTTTTCTTTCTTTTCCAGGAAATATTCATATGTTTTCAAACGTGACAGATGATACCCACTATTACCGACGGCGGCACCGACATGAGAGAATGCAGACGCGGAAGGAGGAGGAGGAAGATAAACCTCAGGTACATAGGGAGGACAGGAGAACTGCTGCTCATAGACACTTGTACTGAATGGGCCTTTATGGTATAGGTGTTAGACCAAAGATATGTTTCTGAAATGTGCTTTAGGAAAGTAGACGCAATGGTAAGAAGAGCTGGATAATTGGCCCAAATAGGCCAGAATGGTAACCCCCTTCCCCACTCATTTTTTGGTGGCTGTCCCAGGAAATCACTTCCCCTGTAGGTTACCTTGATCAAGGTTTTTTTGACTGCAGAAAACAAGAACCCCCTTCAAAATATTCAGAACTAAAGGGTTAAGGTAAGGGATCTAGGAGGTCTTATTAAGCTCAAGAGCAGGAAGTGCAGCTATGCCTCGTGACAGATGCGAACAAGGAACTGGAATGCTGTCAGGCACCCACACAGCTGTGCTCTCCATGACTAGTTGGGGCCAGATTGTCTCCAGTTTTCCCACCTCTTTTCATCTGCTTTGTTCTCTCTAATCAGCCTGGCTTATTCTACTTCTCGTTGCATATGGCCATTCCCCAGTGCCTAAGAGTATGTGTCCTTTCTTTAAGTGACTGGCTAGCCATGAATGGTGATGAATCTCAATCCCAAATTCCTTGGGGGAGGGGGGGTTATGTTATTATCCCTGCTAGGGCTAGGTGTCTCCCAATCTGTTCAGCTGTGACCAAGGCAACAAAGTTATATGATATTAACATGGCCCCATGAGAGTCACACTCCGGGCAGACTCACCCAGAGGTGTCTGCTTTATTTGTCTTAGAAAAGGGGAATTCAGGAGATTATTGGGTGTCAGTCAGGTTGTGGGTGGGCCTTCTTCAAGTTTCTCAGCAGGAAGAACAGAGTTGTTTGGTACTTCTGTGAAAAGTATAACCTTCCCCCAAAAACCTTTGGCTTTGTGTAGTGCATTGCTAATTTGTATTTTCTTTGGGAAAATCTATTTTCTATAAGCTTTATATTGATGAAGAACACTTACACCAAATATTTTTTCTTTTTCAGACTACATATTCTGCATTTATTCAGTTACTTCCAGTTCTTGTGATTGTGATTATATCTGTCATTACTCAGCTGCTAGCTGCTAATCCCCCATACAGTCTATTCTACAAATCGTAAGTCAAATATTTATGAATCTTAACAATCTGAAGGGTGAAAGACTTGAAGGTTTTTCCTGTACATTACTAACATTTCACTTCACCTTTCATTGTAAAAACACAGCTTTCGTGTTTAAAGGAACAGCTGGATAGTAACGGTGCAGAGATTCTCAAAAATGCTGTAGGCAGTTTCCTATGTGCTCAGGACTTCAATTGTTTTGTTCTACAGTGACATCATCTGGTCTGTTGCAGAACAGCAACAACTGGTTTCTGAAGGATTAATAGAATAACTCCAGGTTCAGATTAAATCTTCATCACACCATGTTAGAGTTAGAAAGGACCTATTGAGTTTATAGTAGGATTGCTGGACTCCTGTGGATTTGGGAACATCATAACTGAGATCCAGTGATTTTAAATTTAAGAAATTGCAAGAATAGGACATTTATTCATGATAGGGCTACACAGTCAACCATAGTATCTTATTTTTTTGCTTTTGCTGAAAATATAGAAATTCATTGTAATGTTTGCAGAGCCTGCATATTATGAGGTCTGATAGGAATTTTAATTTCTTTAATTAGTTATTTCAATTAATTCATTTCTCAAGTTGATTCCCAAATCATCATCAATATCAATTGGCAACATGTTAGAAATACATACTCTTGCCCTGGCTGGTTTGGCTCAGCAGTTAGAGCATCGGTCTGGAGAGACCCGGGTTCGGTTCCTGCTAAGGGCATGTACCTTGGTTGCAGTTGGTCCCTGGCCCTGCTTGGGTTGTATGGGTGGCAGCCACTCGATGTGTCCCTTTCATGTCAATGTTTCTCTCTCTCCCTCCCACTCTATCTGAACAAAAAAAGTGGAAAAATGTCCTCGGGTGAGGATAAGGAAAAAAAAAAGAAATACATACTCTTATGCCCTGGCCGGTTTGACTCAGCAGTTAGAGCATCGGCCTGCGGACCAGTGAATCCCGGTTCGGTTCCGGTCAAGAGCACATACCTTCTCACGTCGATGTTTCTCTCTCTCTCCTCTCTCCCTCCCGCTCTATCTGAAGATAAATAGAAAAATATCCTCGGGGCCCTGGCCGGTTTGGCTCAGTGGTTAGAGCGTTGGCGTGTGGTCCGGAGAGATCCGGGTTCGGTTCCCGCTAGGGGCACGTACCTCAGTTGCAATTTGTCCCCGGCCCTGGTTGGGTCATGCGGGTGGCAGCCACTCGATGTGTCCCTTTCACGTCAATGTTTCTCTCTCTCTCTCTTCCTCTCTCTCCCTCCCACTCTATCTGAACAAAAAATGGAAAAATGTCCTCGAGTGAGAATAAAAAAAAAAATTAAAGTGTTTACATTTAAAAAAAGAAAAAAAGAAAAATATCCTTGGGTGAGGATTAAAAAAAAAAAAAAAGAAATACATACTCTTGCCCTAGCTGGTTTGGCTCAGCAGTTAGAGCGTCGGCCTGCAGTCCAGAGAGTCCCAGGTTTGGTTCCGCTAAGGGCATGTACCTCAGTTGCAGTGTCCCCAACCCTGGTTGGGTCGTGCGGGTGGCATCCACACAATGTGTCCCTTTCATTTCGATGTTTCTCTCTCTCTCTCTTCCTCCCACTCTATCTGAACCCCCCCCCCCAAAAAAAGGAAAAATGTCCTCTGGTGAGGATAAAAAAGAAAAGAAATGCATACTCTTAGGCTTCATTTCATATCTATTGAATTAGACATGCTGAGGATGAGAACCAGCAATTTGAGTTTGTTTGTTTTTTATCCTCACTCAAGGACATTTTTCCATTTTTTTTTTTTAATAATTTTTTTTTCTTTATTGATTTTCAGAGAGAGAAAGGGAGAGGGAGAGAGAAACAGAAACATCGATGAGAGAGAATATCAACCGGCGCCTCCTGCATGCCCCCCACTGGGGATCAGGCCCACAACCTGGGCATGTGCCCTGGCCGGGAATTGAATCAGTGACCTCCTGGTGCATGGGTCGATGTTCAAGCACTGAGCCACACCAGCCGGGCCATTTTTCCATTTTTTGTTCAGATAGAGTGGGAGGGAGAGGAAGAGAGAGAGAGAGAGAAACATCAATATGAAAGGGACACATCGAGTGGCTGCCTCCCACACAACCCCAACCAGGGCCGAGGATGAATCACAACTGAGGTACGTACCCTTGACAAGAATCAAACCCGCGGGCGACTCATTGATCCGCGGGCCCACACTGTAACCGCTGAGCCAAATTGGCCAGGGTGCAATCTGAGTTTTAACAAGCCCTCCAGATTATTCTGGTCCATACTAAAGTTCAAGAATAATTATTTTTAAAAATTAATAATGAGAAATGAGTCGTTACTTATTATTATAGTTTAGCAGACAAAAACATTACAAAATTCAGAGTCCATGGGGCAATGCATAATAGGAAGAATCTTAAAAAAAAAACACGTTTTTAGCCTCACCCGAGGATATGTTTTTTATTGATTTGAGAAAGAGAAAGAGAGAGAGAAAAACATCGATTGGTTGCCTCCCGTACACATCGCAATGGGGATCAAACCCGAAACCTAGATATGTGCCCTGACCTGAAATCTAACCTACAACCTTTTGGTGTACGGGATGATGCTCCCACCAACTGAGCCACCTGGCCAAGCAATAGGAACAATTTTTGTTGGTGATCACTGTAGACTGAAAACTATCATTTTAAGTCAATATCTTCATTTTACAGAGAGGAAATATGAGACTTAGAGATAGGTTATTGCTATTAGGTCACACTGGCCTAATTCCCTTTATTTTCCAACTTCCCGTGTTTCTCCATATGCTGCTGCTACCTCCTTTCTTGTCAGGCCAGTCAGGAACCTGCTAACAACTTCCCAGGGGGAGGTGGGAGCAGTCATGGCCTGAGCTCTTAGACATTCAACAAGATCCTTAGTAGAGAGACCAAAGGAGAAGGCTGGGAAAAGGTCAACTGTAACTCATTTGAGATAGATTTTGTCCATTTTGAATAAAATCAGCTTGTATTTTGCACATCGCTGTCACATTGTTTTAACTTAAATTTGAGTTCCTTTCTATTATGGTTAGAAATTCGTTAACCCAGACCTGTCAATGTTTCTAAGTACCAGATAAAATTGGATGTCTTAGATCCACAAAGAGTTAGCCCAGAAGCATCATTGAAATCTTTTGTCTGAGGTTTTTTTTGCAGTTCTCACTTAGCAGCTCTGTGTGAAGTACTTTTTATTTTGTCCTAAAGATTGATGCTAGGTTGGTGTAAGCTATCTGGTTATTTGTACATGGTTTACTATAGTAATCAGTTTATTCAACCAGCATTTACCAATAGCCTACTCTGTGCCAGGTACCACGCTAGGTCCTACACAATATCCACATTGTTTTTTAAGCATTAGTGTTCTACTTTTAGCATAGAAAGCAGTATAAGAAAGGTGAATCCTTTAAGAGTATAAAGTAACTATACTGAGGCTGAATCCACAGTATGAACATGTTCATGGAATAAAGAGCAACATCACACTTACTACCTTGCTAGGGAAATTATAAATGTTAGGTGCATCAGACAATGCTATCTACATTGGCCCTATGAAGAAGTCATTGTGATCATGATATCTGTGAGGCCAGTGCTGAATGATGGTGCCAAATATAACAAGCTTACCTGAGCCTCTCTCTCTCCATATTTCAGGACCTTGGGCTACACCATTTCTAGAGAAACCCAGAACCTTCAGGTGCCTTACTTTGTGGATAAAAACTTTGACAAGGTCTACAGGGGAGCATCTCTGCGTGAGCTGGAGAAGACTATAGAGAAGGATTACATTGATTACATCCAGACGAGTTGTTGGAAGGAGAAACAACAAAGTAAGATGCTTTAAAAGGGGCTTTAGCCCAGCTGGTGTGGCTCAGTGGATTAAGCGTTGTCCCAGGGACTGAGAGGTCCTGGTTTGATTCCTGGTCAGGGCACATGCCCAGGTTGCAGGCTCCATCCCCAGTGGGGAGCGTGCACGAGGCAGCTGATCAGTGTATCTCTTTCACATCAATGTTTCTATCTCTCTCTCCCTCTCTCTCTCAAAAAATCAATAAAAATATCTTAAAATAAATAAATAATGAAAGGAGCTTTAGCTGGTGGCCATGCTTCCAACCTGAGGCATCCCCAGCTTCCTGATCCCTCCTCTCTCCTTGTTTGAGTTGCACACGTTTATTTGAACAGAGAGAGGACAGAAGCCCATTCAGGATGGTATAAAAAAAGGGAAGTTTATTGATGGGAAACATGTAGCTAGGACTTGAAAATCTTAGTTGCCTCTTTGTCTTTCTGTCTCTGAGTTTATACCTCTCTCTGCCCATCTGCCCCGCTCTGCTCTCTCTGCCAGCAGCCCTCCTTTGCTTCTTCAAGCTCTCCTCCTTCGTAACCTTGTTTTACCATGGTCATTCTTCCAACTTCCCCAGCCCCGCCAGTCACTGGCCCTTTCTACATCACAAGCTTCCTCTGTAAGTTCTCGTTGCTGGCTGGTTTGGTCCAGTTTCCTAATTCTACATTCCCCAGATCCAGCTTAGCTTTTTGAGCCAGACCAAAGATTTGTAGGTTGTTGGTATTGAGTCATGTGCCCCCTCCCTTCCCTTTCTGTCAGCTGTGGCCACAGAGAACAAAACGACCCTCCCTGGGTCTCCCCCTTCAGTAAGGGCGGGTGTGAGCAGGCCTTCCACTCTGTTTCCCTCTCTGGAGACGGTTTGAGTAACAGTGTCCGCCACTTGGCTCACAATTCCAGTGAGTATTAATGGGGAGTGCTGGTAGCAAGGGTAGCCCTGTCTCTCAGCCAACAGGTTCATTTTTCATCCCACTTGAATTCCACAAACACACACACACACACATCCATACATACACCATTAGTAACTGTTTCTTATAAAACTTGGCTTTGGTTAATTTTTTAAAAGCAAACTCTAACTCACTTTTTAAAACCTTATTACTGGGTATTATTAAACATCTAAAAGTGCCTGATAAAATTAGCTCTTCAGTCACAGTGCTGCTAAGCCCTTGCTGACCCATCATGCATCCCAGCCCCACCCCCAACGTAATCTCTTCTTCCCCTGTGTTCTTAAAGCACTTTGCTCATCCTGTTAGCACAGCACTGCTCTCTCGGTGTCAGTGTTCCGTAGGTACATGTAGTCTCCGTGCTGGACTGTGGGCTCTCTGAGGACAAGAACCATGCCTTATTCATTCTGTGTCTCAGGCACCTGGCACAGTCCTTGTTTCAGAGCAGGTGCTCAACAAATGTCTTTTGCAGAGAGGATTCTCAGGACTGGAAAACAATGAAAATGCTGAGCATTAGGAATCACAGAACAGGGTTAGTGTCCTAACCCCAGCCCTTAGGGACCTTGTCTCTGTCCTCTACATCTGTAGGGCAGAGCCCAACGGAACTCTTAGGAGCATTAGGAGCATGGTAGGCAATGACTCTGGGGTGTCAGGGGGAACTAAGCAGGAGTAGGAAGTTGCTTTTTTATTGAAAAGTCTGAGGGTTCAGGAAGTACCCTACCTCATGTTAAACTAGGTTTTGCAAGTTTTAAAAAATCACGATAGAATTTGGAGCAAGATAAAGGCCTTAGACTAAAAGGCAGTATGCTTTGGGCTCTGGGAGGGTTTTGCATTTGTTGCTTTCTACAAGAACTGGATGAAAATCTGCATTTCACATTCTTCAGACACACACCTACCCACACACATTCTCTAGCTGGAACTATGCAAAGAGCTCATAATAAGGATTGCACCTAAGGTAGCTTCTAGGCTTTTGTCCTCATCCTCTAGTATCGGGGCTTTTGAACTCTCCAGGTATAAATAAAAACCCAGGGAGTAAACATGATGCATGTACCCACAAGTTCTAAATGGGGTTATCAGCACATACCCCTTAAAAATCTATTTCTGGTATTAAAGGATGGTGGAGGCTGTCAGTAGCCTCCACACAACCCAAGTGCCATTTGAGAATGAGCAGCATCTGCCCTCCGGATCCAGCAGCAAGTGCAGCCAACAAGGTTAAATTTAGCACTTGGAGGTTGTAAAAATAAACCCACTTGAGAACAAAGTTCACTCTTGGCAAAATAGGAATGGAAACTGTTTTTAGCTAAGTTAGCCATTGTCTTTTTAAATTTTTTGTTCATTTCTTTTCTCTGCTCTCCCTCAGAATGCTCAATCTAAATGAACTTCTATGAGTAATGTTTTACTCTGAACACTAATTGCTGTTTTCTCTGTCAGCTGCATCTAGATAATAAACCTGATGCCAGGGGAAGTGGCTATGCCACTGGGCTGGGCTGGACGAAAATAATGGGCAGAAACTGCCTCCTGGCCTGGCTGAGCTGAGCTGAGATCCTCACCCCTCTGGCAGAGGAGCATTTCTTTCCCTGTCCTGGAGCAGGGTGGTAGAGTGGGTAGAAGCTGAGGTTTTGAAATGGGGACACATGAACTTCTTTTTAGAAAGGTCTATGGATTATAGAAGACGGTATGGGTATGACGCTTAGCATGGTGTCTGGCACATAGTAAGTGCCTGGTTCCTGGTGGAGTCCTGGTGGCTTTGCTAGACTGGATGCAGCGCTGTCTTGTGGGGTGGATCCGAAGAGTGGCTGGGATTCTGATCTGGGCTTTTGTGCAGTGTTCTTGGGGGACGTTCTGGGACTTGCTTCTCTTGGCAATTTGCCTGAGCCAGTTTACCTTGAAGGCTCAAAGCTCTGTCCATCTATTACCCTGGCATTGAGGGCAAGGAAAACATTTTATAAAGAAGAAAAGATGTTCTCTTGACCCTGCCCCTCCTAAAGATTTGTTTTTCTCTTAAAAGTTATTGAATATGCCCTGGCCAGTTTGGCTCAGCGGTTAGAGCATCAGCCTGCAGTCCAGAGAGACCCAGGTTCGGTTCCCGCTAAGGGCGTGTACCTCGGTTGCAGTTTGTCCCTGGCCCTGGTTGGTTGTGTGGGTGGCAGCCACTCGATGTGTCCCTTTCACGTCACTGTTTCTCTCTTACTGCCTCTTCCTCTCTCTCCCTCCCACTCTATCTGAAATTAAATATATATATATATAAAAAGTTATTGAATATTAACAGAACTTGTCAAAAGTAAAATATTCATTGAGTTGGCCTTTTGCCTCACTGAAGGGCAAAAGGATTCACTGGCAGTTTGGAGAGAAGTTTCTCTAAGCATGATGGTAGGGGTGTGGGGACATGGTTCCTTGAAACACTGACCTTGTGCAAGGTCATTGCTCTGGAGCAGGGGTCTCAACTGTGGAGCATTGAAAACCAGTTTCAATGAACTTTATAAAAAGCAGTGTGGCCTTTTGAGGAAAGTGTTCACATATGTGCAGTTATCTTTCACCAGGTTGTTACCGTGGTCTTCAATGTAGAAAATAGTAAGAATCACTAGCCTTAATGTTTTCTGGAATGAGATTTCGGGCAATGAGGCATTTAGATAAGCTTGGTAAGCAAAAAACAAACAAAAAAAGCCTCAGTAAATAAAAGGATAAGAAGGAAGAAGAACAAAAAGCACCTAAGGAAATCATTTCAAAGAAAAGCAAAGCCACAGAATCTGTTCCATACAGTGATGTAATTGTGATTCCAGAGGACCAAAGGGATAGACATGTTATAGAAGCCTCCTGATCAGCTTTCCCACATGCCAAAGGAGCCAGAGAAATGAAGCTAGTGCTCACACTCACTCTGTGCAGGACATAGGAGCAGAGGGCTTTCACTTCGGTGCAGCACATGATCCTCCATGAAGCCCCACCGCCTGCCAGGATGACAGTGCCGAGCTGTGGCAGCAAGCACTGCAAGCGCCCGCACCAAGGGAAAAGAGCACATTGTTCAGAGGCCTAGGAGACCCGCTGCTTGCCAAGCAACTGCTAGGCTAGGGCCCAGGCTCTGAGCCCTCATTGTAGAGGGAGGGTTTAATGCATATCCACCGATCACCCTGGAGTCCTGCACTTAATCTGCACTTGGGGCTTTGCTTGGCGTAAACAGAATCACTGTGAGCAGAAATGCCAGACAATGTTTTGTGTTTCCAGAAGCTTACTTAGAAACCAACGCCCATTGTCACCCCTGTCTAAGTATCGATTCCTGTTTCCAGGTCGTTCGCTGATTACTCAGACAGGTGCCTCTGGTTCCACCAAGAAAAACAAAACCTGTCAGAAAGATAATTAAGAATGGATAACATATTTTTAAATGATTAAAATAGCGTCTTCACAAGTATGATTCTTTAAAACATTGAGTAGCTGCCTGTTGTTAGAGGCTTTCAGAAGCCACACAGCCCATCCAAGCATGCCATCCTGTTAATACACAACACGTCTCTGGAGGTGCTTTTCAGGCCTTCCTTTTTCAGACTGCCTCTGAAACTTTACAAAAGAATAAAAAGTAGAGGCAGCCAACCACTGTTGAGCTGGGGAAGACAGCAGAGATTATATTCTGGTTAAAAATAGAATGACTTTCTCCACCATTAAGAGAAAATGAAATTCCTTTAGTCAAGGAGACAAAGGTCACTGGATCCAGATGATTTCACTTTTAAAAGAGCCCAGCTGCCTCTGGCCTTTGAGTTAGGGACCCCACATGTGGTGAGGGAATGAAGAAAACCACCAGCAACCTGTCCCTCTATGAAAGGCATACCCACCAGAAGGAGGCTACGTCAGTTAGTGTGTATGAGTTATCATCCAGCAACGCAAGAGAAAGAATGAAGCAGCTGTCTTTGTTGCAGATGACAGGAACAGGCGATTGGACTCCATTCTTCCCAACTGCCATCTAAATACCATTCGTAGGAAGACCATGAAACAGGCTCCTCTTACTGCACACATGCAGTCTTCCTAAGTCTGGTGCCAAATGTTCTATTGATAAGAACTAAGTCTGGTGCTTTTATAACAGAGCGCAAATACTGTAGGACTCCAAGACCACAGGTGTCCTTTAATCCTTAGCACCTGGTGTAGTATAGCTGCCTGATACATGTTTCTTAAATAAATGCATGTTTCTTAAATGTAATTGAAAGGGAAAGCATTAAATAAAGTAAAAGGAGCTTTGATTCCAGAAATATTGAAATGAAGCAAAGGAGCTCAAGTCTTTTCATGAACTGGTTACTTCTTTTATCTTTCAGAATCGGAGTTGACAAATTTGGCAGGATTGTACAGAGATGAACGACTGAAAGAGAAAGCAGAGTCGCTGAAACTTGAAAACTGTGAAAAACTTTCCAAACTTATTGGCCTGCGCAGAGGTGGCTGAGAGGATGATAGTTCTACACGGGGTTGGGGTTTTGCTACTGGTTACTATTTATGTTCCTAATTCCATTTTATAATACAAAATTAGGAAATGATGAACATTTTACAATTCGCTAACTTTGTTTGGTGGGCTGAGTTGAAGGCGCTTGAGCATGGAACCAGACTTGTCATCACAGAATTCTTCCTGGGGATTGACTCCAGGGGCCAGGAACAGTTCATCTCAGTTAAATCAATGGCAGCGCATTGGATTCAGCCCCTACCTCTGCTCCCTGCCCCCTGCTCCACACCTTCCCTGCCTCTAGGAATGTAGTTCAGGACATCCCAGAGCAAACTCATCTATTCTTCTTTCTTCCCTTCTTCACTAACCAGTCATTCCTAGGCATAGCCAAAGCAGCTTAATATTCATTGTTTACAAAAGTACACCAAGAATTACACCTCTCCCTTCATGAGAGTCATCATCTCCCCCGGATTAGCCTTTGGAACATGTTCCTACTCCTGTTTCCATTTTCTAAGGGGAATGTGGAGAAATGTAAACTGTTGTAGTCAGTAGTTACCTAATCTCTCTTCAGAGTTTCTAGCAAAATGCCTGATTTGAGTTTCTTACTTCCTTAACTCTCTCTCTTTCTTACAGAGGGTCCAGAAATTAAAACCTATTGAGTGAAACAGTTCAATGGAAGCAGGGACCAGGGGTGAAGGTAAAATGCAACACTTAGTCTCAGCTTCTCAGTACAAGTTCCCTAGTCTGTCACAGAACCCAGAGAATGTTCTTTCTGTCATTTCCCTGTGCAGCCTCACAGGAACTGATTCCCTACACCCCTCAGAGGTACAGTGGTCAGAGCTAAGAGAAGGTACTGCCAGCTAACTGGACTATTTGCTCAAGCCTAGACATAGAGGGGGAAGACCCTCTTTCCATGACTATGGAGTTCTGGTGTTGGCCCCAGCAGTCATGTTGTCTAACCCAGTGCCCTGTAGTTTGTGACAGGAGATGCTTTTTCAGATAGTCAAACATTTACTGAGTGCCTAGGATGAAGCAAGGGCTCTCACATGCATTTGCTTACTTTAGCTTCCTCACAGCTCTGTGAAGTGGACATGTTAGCCCTGTTTTTATAAATGAGAATATTGACCCAGAGAGGATGAATGGTTGACCTGGGTCACACAAGTGGTAATGGCAGAGCTAGATGGTAGTCTGATTATCAAGTAGAAAGTGTGAGATCATACCCATTTCTCAGGTCATTTTAGCCAGATTGGTAAAGCAGAATCTTTCCCAAGGATGCCCATCCCCCCCAACCCTGTGACCCTGTGACCCTGTATCCTTCCTATGGCAGTCCATCATCCATTCAGGACACCTCTCGCCCTGGTCTTTAGGAATCAATACTCTCTCTGTACCAGTTTTATATACAAAACAAAAAGTCCCTCAAAGGCAGGCAGCCCTTCCCACAGGTGACAGGAAGAGGTAAGTTGCTGCCTGGGCCATGTGTTTCTGGGCCTTCCTGCAGAGCCAAACTACCAGATTGAGCTGCCTAGATTATCATGAATCTGAAGCTGGAAGAATCAGTAGGTAACTGTAATCTACACTCATATTTTCTTCAGGATGTAAGAAAAATTTCTGTTGGAAAGAGACTCTACATGAACACTGATTTCCAGAGGAGTTTCTCCTTTCGGATGCACAGCCATGATGTGTCTAGCATGGTTCAACATGTGGGCATTCCACAGGGTCAGGAGATGCCTCCAGAGGTAAAGAGTGGGGCTTTAGTGGCTGGTAGGGGACAACTGCTCATCTGGGAGCGGGGAGCAGCTCTGGAGAGAGCCAGATTTTGCTGCCCAACTCTGTCTAACCTCCTGGGTTTCAGGGCTTTCTTGATTCCCTCTGAGTGACAGAGGAATTTACACAGTAAAATGTGCCTGTGAGCTAAATTAGCTTATGGAAAGTTTTCCTGTGCACACAAAAGTCAATGCTCTCCTCTTCTCGACCCCAACCCCTGCTAGAAAATGGGCCATAATTAAACTGACTTGACAGATGAAAAGACCCTGCTTCTAGATGCCCATGAAAAGTATAGTCATACATTTTATAGATTTCATGGCAGACATTAGTTATCTGTGATGATTCTAAATAGAGGCAATACTAACTCCAATAAATGTCAGGCCTATTGCCTCTTTTTATAGCACTGATGGTACTGTTTAATTTATTACCTAATAGACCACAACACTCACATCTGGTTTTCCTCAAGGGAATGGTATTTGCATTTGGTTGAAGGATAGTTTAATCTATTTGGTACGGTCAAGAATATTGTTAAACTATAATTTCCTGGGTTATATTTTAGACAGTTGTCTGCATGGTGGTAAAAATTCTCTTGCCTACATCCTTTGGAAGGTTTCCTAGTCATATATAAGCTCTTTAGGTAAGGCTTATTCTTGCTGTCAGAACTTGACATGCAGCTCTAGACTGTGTCTATGAGCATTAGTACAGATCGCAGATGTGTGATGAGAGGGGCTAAGAAACAGGGATTGAGGCTCAAGCAAAAACTGAAGCTCTCATCATCTGAAGGATAGTGCTCTTTGCACTGCATGATCAGCAGTGAGGAGGGGAGCATGAAAATCCTCACCACAGAGGACACTGCAGCTTGAAGGAATCCGTGTCCCCAGATTAGCAACCCTGGGGTTCATCTGCTCAAACCAGAAAACGTCTGAACTTCCCTATCAGCTCCAGGCCTCACAACTTGGAAGAAGTGACCAGTAAGAAAATGAAATTGTGCCCTGGCTGGTTTGGCTCAGCAGTAGAGCATCAGCCTGCGGCCGGAGAGACCCGCGTTCGGTTCCCGCTAAGGGCACGTACCTCGGTTGCAGTTTGTCCCCGGCCCTGGTTGGGTCGTGCGGGTGGCAGCCACATGATGTGCCCCTTTCACGTCGATGTTTCTTTCTCTCTCCCTCCCCAGTCTATCTGAACAAAAAATGTAAAAATGTCCTCGGGTGAGGATAAAAAAAAAAGGAGAAAATGAAATTGCTATCCTTTCTGTTGGAAACTATTACAAATTACACTGAACTCCAAACCCCACTGGAACATGGGATCCAGCACCCTGGCTAAGCTATATGTTATGCTCATTTTCATCCTCACACTCAGGACTGGTTTTGTGAGGAGGCACTGTTGGGATTCAGAAGTTTGCTGTTACAATTGGCCACACATGCAAGTCGTCTCCGCATGCACTGTTCCTCGCAGGAGCTGCACTCAATTAGTATTTATTTTGGATTCATTTAAGGGGTAAGCTTAGTGTCCTAATACATTTGCTTTTGGAAAAGGCCAAGTTACTGTACATCTTATTTTTTGAGCCTGCATTGTTGATACCTCGTGCAATGACCCCAAGTAACTATATATCCATGTGTTAGATATTAATTACATCATTTGCATCCATTCAATATTTGGAATTAAAGATGTGAATGTTCTGTGATCAGAGCCAGGTTTGACACATGGCATCAGCTCCTAGTAGAGTCTGAATCCTGAGAAATCTGGTCTACTGATCTACTGCATCTGGATTAAATGTATTTTAACACAGAAATAAATGATTTTATATAAAAATGGCTTTTATGTTTTTGTCTTGTTCTTTTACCTTTGCCCATGGCACCCCTGGGCACTGATATTGCCTGACTCCTTGGAGCCACTGAAGACTAGAGAAGCTGTTGACCTTTTCCCCAATCTCCCCTCATCCATCAGTAGAATTATTGGTGTTTAGAACAATAGATAGCCTTGGTGGTATCACCAGTTCTGTGTTTTCTATCAGATAAACAGCAGCTGCAGCACATTACAGCCAGTGTACAGATCAAAACTACTTAGCATCTGCAAATCAGCTGTTACTCCAGTTCCTTGCTGGCTTTGTCCCCAGTGGCCCATATTTAGGAAAGTTTTGGTTTAAAAATACAGTGCATGTTTCAGTTAAGTTCTCTAGAGCCCAACTGGTTATAATAATTCCTGTTATTTGGAGAAAGGCTGAGATGAGAATCAATCCAACAAAGATGGAGAATTTACTGTGTGCCAACTGAGCTGAGCTTTTGGGATGGGAGTCAGGAACAAGTGAGACCCAGCACCAACACTCCTGAAGCTCACATCCGATGAGAAACCTAACTTTAGACAATGCTCCCCAATGGGGTGAATGTCAAAGGGGAGATGAAGAGAACCTTGGGACCATATAATAAAGGGATTTAATCTAGTATGAGGGATCAGTGAAAGCAACTCTGAGGAAGAGAAACTTGAAATATAATCACCCTTCTTGCAGAGGACAGTGATTTATTTTTTAATGGAGGAAACGGGAGTAACACTTTGAGTGCTCCCATTTCTATGAATAGCATCGTCATCCATCCAAGTACAAAAGTCAGAAACCCAGGAAACTGTGTAGTAGACTTGATTTGATGTCCCCAATGGACCACACCCAATATTCATGCCTTCGTGTAGTCCCCTTTCTGATCTAGGCTGGCTTTTGATCTTTAATGAATAGAATGTGGCAAAACTAGCATCTTCATTTTTGCACTTAGGGGAAGCCAGCTGCCATGTAAGTCCAACCTCCCTGAGACCACCAAGCTAACCACATGAAGAAGGTATGCAGAGGAGAACCAAAAGGCAAAGCTGGCAGCAAGACAGAATCCAGACATATGAGCTGCTTATGCCAGCTGATGGGCAGAACATAAATTAGCTGCCCCACCAAGACCTCTTCAAATTGAAGAATCATGAACAAATAATAAAATGGTTGCTGTTTTAGCCATTAATTATGTTTTGTGATAATATGCAGCAGTAAACAACCAAAACACCTTGGCTCCCTTTTTTCGATACTCCCTCCACCATTTTCTTTCAATATGTTTTTATTAATTTTTTAGAGAGACAGGAAGGGAGAGAGGGAAACATCAATGTGAGAGAGAAACATCAGTCGGCTGCCTCCTGCACGTCCCCTACTGGGATCAAGCCTACAACCGGGGCATGTGCTCTGATCAGGAATCGAACCAGGACCTCTCAGTCCATGGGATGACACTCAATCCACTGAGCCACATCGGCCAGGCCCCTCCACCATTGTTAAGTCCTGTCAGTTTTACCTCCAGAACATTCTAAGTCCATCTACTGTCTTCATCTCCTCTGACACTATCTGACTCCCAAACTACCATCTGCTTCCTCTGATAAAAGCTTACACTAGCCTCACAAGTATAAGAGTAGTCTCTGTGTGCCCAGCTGGTGTGGCTCAGTGGTTGAGTGTCGACCCATGCACCAACAGGCCACCGGTTGGATTCCCGCTCAGGGCACATGCCCAGGTTGTGGGCACGGTCCCCAGTGGGGGGCATGCAGGAAGCGGCCAATGGATGTTCTCTCTCATCGATGTTTCCATCTCTCTCTACCTCTCCCTTCCTCTCTCTAAAATCAATAAAGAAAAATTTTTTTTTAAAAAAGAGTAGTCTCTGTGCATCAACTCAGGGCCCTTCTGATCTGCACACCTTGCTACAACCTGAAACATATTTTCGAAGCATAAATTATATTGTGTCACCCTCTTGCTTAAAATATTTCAGTAGCTTTCTTTTGCCCCCCAGGAAAAAAATTACCAAAGTCCTTAGAATGGCCTAATGCTTAATAAGGCTCTACCAAGTTTCTGGCCTCTGCCCCTGCTTACCCTGTACATCTTTTTTTTTTCTGCCATACTACCCTTTTTTTTCCTTTATTGATTTTAGAGAGAGAAAATGAGAGGGATAGAGAGAGAGAAACATCGATGAGAGAGAACATCGATGGGCTGTCTCCTGCATGCTCCCCACCGGAGATAGGGCCCATAACCCAGGCATATGTCCTGAACAGGAATAGAACTGGCGACCTCTTGGTGCAGGGGTCAATGCTCAACCACTGAGCCACACCGGCCGGACCATACAAGCCTTTTTTTTTTTTAATCCTCACCAGAGGACATTTTTCCATTCTTTGTTCACATAGAGTGGGAGGGAGAGAGAGGAAGAGAGAGAGAGAAACATCGATGTGAAAGGGACACATCGAGTGGCTGCCACCCGCATGACCCAACCAGGGCCGGGGACAAACTGCAACCGAGGTACGTGTCCTTAGCGGGAACCGAACCCGGGTCTCTCTGTACCGCAGGCCGACGCTCTAACTGCTGAGCCAAACCTGCCAGGGCTCCCCTCTTTTCTAAATGCTGCCTGATTGTCTTACTCGGTTCCAACTCAAAAATTACTTCCTCGAAGAAGTCTTCCCTGCACCCATGATTGGGCTAAATCATTTAAAATACTCATTCCTCGCCCTGGCAAGTTTGGCTCAGCAGATGGAGCATCGGCCTGCAGTCCAGAGAGATCCGGGTTCAGTTCCCTCTGGGGACAGTGCCTCGGTTGCAGTTTGTCCCCGGCCCTGAATGAGTTGTGCGGGTGGCAGCCACTCTGTGTCCCTTTCACGTCGATGTTTCTCTCTCTCTCTCTCCTTTCCACTCTATCTTAACAACAACAACAAAAAAGATGAAGGGATGTCCTTGGGTGAGGAAAAAAAATAAAATAAAATACTCATTTCTCTCTTTCTTAGCACCTGTTATAACTATAATGCTATTTATTTGAATGACTTAGTTTGAGATTTATTGATGTTTATTATTGTCTGTCTCCCCCACAAGACTAAGTTCCAGTCTAATTTTATCTGAGCTGAACCCTGAGGGGAATGACATGCCATCTGTCAGGACTTTCTCTGGAAGTGCAGCCCAAATGGAAACTCCTCCCATCAAAAGGTGAGATGTGTCCCCTCTCCTTGAAGCTGGATTCTGTAGGCCCTTGACCAATAGAATACAGCAGAAATGACACTAGGCTGCTTGTTAAGCCCAAGCCTTAAGAAACTGGCATTGTCCATTTTCTGACACTTTGGATACTTTTTTTTTAATCCTCATCCGAGGACATTTTTCCATCTTTTGTTCAGATAGAGTGGGATGGGGAGAGAGAGAAACATCGATGTGAAAGGGACACGTCAACTGGCTGCCTCCCGCACAACGCAACCAGGGCCAGGGACAAACTGCAACTGAGGTACGTACCCCTAGCAGGAACCAAACCCAGGTCTCTCTGGACCGCAGGCTGATGCTCTAGCTGCTGAGCCAAACCAGCCAGGGCTAGATACTTTCTCTTGAACCCGTCACCATGCTAGGAGAAAGCCCAAGCAGCCAATGGAGAGGAACAAGATCCTTGTTCCTCAGCCTCAGATAAGCTCCCAGCTGACCGCACCAATTTGCCAGTTATGTGAGTAGCCATGAGTCATGGTAGTAAAACTTCTAGCCTCCCTTCTCCAACAACCATACCAGCTGATACTACATGGAGCAAAAATGAGCTTTCACTATTGAACTCTGCCTAAATTGAAGATTCCTGAACAAAACGATTTTTTTAAGGTATAAATATTGGGTGGTGTGTTATACAGCAATAGATAATCAGAACATTAACCAGGATAACAACACTGTGCAGAAAGCCACCCTTCCTGGGGCAGGATCCAGAGCTGTTTGTGATGTCATATCATCCTGAGCCTCACTGAGCTGTGGTCAGCCAGGAGCTCATAGAGTTTGTTGACATAGAGAGTGGGAGTCTGGTAGTCCCCAACCAGGTTGACCGTCTTCATGTCTGTGCTGGTATGCAGGGTGCAGGTCTGGATCCAGTGTTCTCTCTTGCTGTCCATCCCCAGGGAACTGGCTGCTGGAGCATACTGTGCTCCAGGGTGTTCCCTAAGTGTATAAGGCAGTCTGTTCCAGCTGGTGGAGGTAAATGGTGAGTGGCAAGAGATATCAAGCAGCACCTTCATGAAAAACCCTACAGTTCAAGGGGGAATATTCAGGGATCCTGCCCCAG